AGGGAACTGGGAGGGACTGGGATAAACTGGGAGGGACTGGGATGAACTGGGAGGGACTGGGAAGGACTGGGATAAACTGGGATGGACTGGGAGAAACTGGGAGGGACTGGGATGAACTGGGAGGGACTGGGAGGAACTGGGAGGGAACTGGGGTTACTGGGATGGAGTTGGAGGGGACTGAGAGGGTTTTTTGGGAGGGATTTGGAAGAATTTGGGGGATTTTTCACAGATTTTAGGGGGATTTTGGGGGGGATTTTTAGGAGGGTTTTTTGAGGATTTTTTGCAGGGATTTTGGGGAAATTTTGGCTTTTTTGGGAGGGATTTGGGGAAATTTTCCCCTCGTTTTTTCGGGATTTTTACCGGATTTTTGGGGATTTTTTTGGTGAAAATTTTTTCCCGGGATATTTTTTTTTGGCGGGGGGTTTTTCGGGATTTTTCCAGGGGATTCCTCGGGGGGATTTTTGGGGTGATTTGGGGCTTTTCCGGGGAAGGATTTAAGACGATTTGGCAGGAATTTTTACTGGATTTTTGGGGGAAATTTTTCCCGGGATATTTTTTTTTTGGGATGGGGATTTTTTGGGATTTTTCCAGGGGATTTTTGGGGTGATTTGGGCATTTTCCGGGAGGGATTTGACGCGATTGGCGGGAATTTTTAAATTTTTACCCAATTTTTGGGGAATTTTTTGGGGGAATTTTTTCCGGGGATATTTTTATTTGGGGGGGGCGGGATTTTTCGGGATTTTTCCGGGGGATTTTTGGGGTGATTTGGGGCTTTTCCAGGGAAGGATTTAAGACAATTTGGTGGGAATTTTTACCAGATTTTTGAGGACTTTTCGGTGGATATTTTTTTTGTGGAATGGGGATTTTTCGGGATTTTTCCGGGGGATCCCTCTAGGGGATTTTTGGGCCAATTCGTGGCTTTTCCGGGGAAGGATTTAAGACAATTTGGGGGGAATTTTTACCAGATTTTTGGTGATTTTTCGGTGGATATTTTTTTGAGGGGGGGGGGATTTTTTGGGATTTTTCGGGATTTTCCGGGGGATCCCTCTAGGGGATTTTTGGGCCAATTCGGGGCCTTTCCAGAGAAGGATTTAAGACAATTTGGCGGGAATTTTTACCGGATTTTTGGGGGAAATTTTTCCCGGGATATTTTATTTTGAGGAGGGGGGGGGAGGGGATTTTTCGGGATTTTTCCGGGGGGATTTTCAGGGTGATTTCCCGGGATTTTCGGGCAGCGCGGCGGGACCTGGCGTCCATCGTCTCCGAGATCCTGATGTACGTGCTGATCGTGGTGCTGACGCTCTGGCTCGCCGCCGAGATGCTCTACTGCTACCGCAAGGTGGCGGCCGCGGCCCCGCCCCCCGACAGCGCGTGAGTGGGCGGGGACGCCGAAAAACCCGGCGAAAACGGGGCGAAAAACGGGGAAATTGGGGTTAAAGTGGCGGGAAGGGGCGTGGCTTAATGGGTGTGGGCGTGGCTTAATGGGTGTGGGCGTGGCTTGGGGTTGGGAGTGATCCAAGGGGGCGTGGCTCAATTTTGGGAATGGAGGAAGTTAAAAATGGGGGTGGAAAAAAGGGAAAATTTGGGGTAAAAATGGGGACATTTGGGATAAAATGGCGGAAAGGGGCGTGGCTTAATGGGTGTGGGCGTGGTTTAATGGGTGTGGTCCGAAGGGGGCGTGGCTCTATTTTGGGAATGGAGGAAGTTAAAAATGGGGGTGAAAAAAGGGAAAATTTGGGGTAAAAATGGGGAAATTTGGGTTAAAATGGCGGAAAGGGGCGTGGCTTAATGGGTGTGGGCGTGGCTTGGGGTTGGTGGGGTCCGAAGGGGCAGGGCTGAATTTTGGGGGTGGAGGTGTGAAAATTGGGGCAAAAAGGGGGAAATTGGGGTAAAAAAAATGGGAGAATTGGGGTAAAAAATGGGAAAATTGGGAGAAAAATGGGGGTTTAAAATGGCGGAAANGGGTGATTTCCCGGGATTTTCGGGCAGCGCGGCGGGACCTGGCGTCCATCGTCTCCGAGATCCTGATGTACGTGCTGATCGTGGTGCTGACGCTCTGGCTCGCCGCCGAGATGCTCTACTGCTACCGCAAGGTGGCGGCCGCGGCCCCGCCCCCCGACAGCGCGTGAGTGGGCGGGGACGCCGAAAAACCCGGCGAAAACGGGGCGAAAAACGGGGAAATTGGGGTTAAAGTGGCGGGAAGGGGCGTGGCTTAATGGGTGTGGGCGTGGCTTAATGGGTGTGGGCGTGGCTTGGGGTTGGGAGTGATCCAAGGGGGCGTGGCTCAATTTTGGGAATGGAGGAAGTTAAAAATGGGGGTGGAAAAAAGGGAAAATTTGGGGTAAAAATGGGGACATTTGGGATAAAATGGCGGAAAGGGGCGTGGCTTAATGGGTGTGGGCGTGGTTTAATGGGTGTGGTCCGAAGGGGGCGTGGCTCTATTTTGGGAATGGAGGAAGTTAAAAATGGGGGTGAAAAAAGGGAAAATTTGGGGTAAAAATGGGGAAATTTGGGTTAAAATGGCGGAAAGGGGCGTGGCTTAATGGGTGTGGGCGTGGCTTGGGGTTGGTGGGGTCCGAAGGGGCAGGGCTGAATTTTGGGGGTGGAGGTGTGAAAATTGGGGCAAAAAGGGGGAAATTGGGGTAAAAAAAATGGGAGAATTGGGGTAAAAAATGGGAAAATTGGGAGAAAAATGGGGGTTTAAAATGGCGGAAATGGGGCGTGGTTTAAAGGCTGTGGGCGTGGCTTGGGTTGGGTGTGGCCTGAAGGGGGCGTGGCTCAATTTGGGGAATGAAGTTAAAAATGGGGGTGAAAAAGGGAAAATTTGGGGTAAAAATGGGGAAATTTGGGTTAAATGGCGGAAAGGGGCGTGGTTTAAAGGCTGTGGGCGTGGCTTGGGTTGGGTGTGGTCCGAAGGGGGCGTGGCTGAATTTTGGGAATGGAGGAAGTTAAAAATGGGGGTGAAAAAGGGAAAAATTGGGGTAAAAACGGGGAAATTTGGGTTAAAGTGGCGGGAAGGGGCGTGGCTTAATGGGTGTGGGCGTGGGTTGGGGTTGGTGGGGTCCGAAGGGGCAGGGCTGAATTTTGGGGGTGGAGGTGTGAAAATTGGGGCAAAAAGGGGAAATTGAGGTAATAAAAATGGGAGAATTGGGGTAAAAAAAGGGAAAATTGGGAGAAAAATGGGGGTTTAAAATGGCGGAAAGGGGCGTGGCTTAAAGGCTGTGGGCGTGGCTTGGTTTGGGTGTGGCCTGAGGGGG